ACCGATAGAGTAATGTTTGCCGTTTTCCGAGAAAATTGCTTCTTTCACCTCCATCACTAGATACTGATCACTTAAAGTTTCTCTGTTTTGCCAAGATATTTTCAAGCAGAAAGTGTTGTTCTTGAAGAAAACAGACCCAGCAATGTTGATATGCATTCTTGTGTTATGTATTACGTAAACGCTAAGAGCTATGAACGAGTCTCGGAAAGAACAATTGGAGATCGTTAAGGCGTGACAATCCCAAAATGTTAGAGGTGTTCCAACGAAAACAATGTCCGATAGGACAATACTTAGAGGATTAGTCACATGCTTCGTAAGAAAGCGAAAACCTTCAGTACATGATACGTATGGCGTGGAATGTAAACCTACTCTGTGCAAACTTTTCTCAACAACAATTCCTTTCTGCTGGTCATGTATTGCCGAAGACTCGCAGTCATAAGGCCGTTCTTCAGTTCCAATTCCATTTAGGTAGATATGTCCATTCCAGTCCATCTGGTAAACTGCCATAGCAATGGATCTGCATGGATTACGGACTGTACCGCAGCTTTCAGAATCGCAACCGTCCAGTGAAACATAGACATCAGTATGTCCGCCGTGTTGCGAAGCTAAGGGAGAATAGTGAAAAATCAAATTTGTTGGTTACGACTATGGTTCCCTACGAAACTTCTTCACTTTTTCTGTTTGATTTTCTTTTGCTTTGTGTTGAATTTGTGTGAGTTTTTTTGTTGTTGTCTTAGACTCCTATTATGATTAATTTTCGGTCGGAATCGGTGATTAGTATTACCAGGGGGGTCAGAGGATTTTTGTTTTGCACTGATAGGATTTACCTGATCCCTCCATAAGGTTCAGTAAGGTTCTTATGATCCTTTCTCGATGCCAATTTCCTATAGTCACCTCTTTCTAAATTATACCGTGTTAACGACTACTGATACCCTATCCGTCCCCCCTGAAACCATGCGATCCTCCCCCAAAGTCCGCCACACACACCTCCCCTCCTCAGCGATAACTAATGACCCGTCCCTTTGTTACATGTAATAGAAGTCATACCCGTAAACTCAAATGCTTTTGAGCTCCCTTCCTCAAAGCTTCTTGAGCTTTATTATGGACATCTTGTGTCTGATTGGCTTCTAGCTTTTGAGATAACTCACGGCGGAAAAATATGTCTCAATTTCTTGCTTCCCGTTAGCTCGTAGCGCTCGCGGCTTCGCTGTTTTCATGCCGTATCGCCTTTTGACGAAAGCTTTCTCGCAGGCTAATTAGCTTCTTCTGTGGATCTTAATGCATTCACACCAAAATTCCACTCAATTTAATACCTCACGAGTAAGATCTGCCAACATGATAATTCTTCAGTTAGAATGATATGGATGTTCCGTGAAGCTATGCTTGTGCTGTCTACACGAAACGCCATGATTTTTGGTTTTAAATTTCCTTGTTGGTAATTTCGTTTGCCAAAAAAGTCATTTTCAGCCTTTAAGACACTTCTATTCAAGCTTGAACTGAATTGGATCATAAAGCAAAAGGAAAGAATTGATTTGATTTGTCTCAAATCGTACTTGCGATGATTTGTGAACCAAAACCTAAACAAGGTTATAATACAAAAAACACGCTTCAAATCCATTTTATTCGAAACTAATGTATGACTGAAGCAGCATTAAAGTCCTTTTTCGTTTCGCACGCGTTAGCTTCAGTAAAGAAAATCGAAAGAACTAATTGGATTACTCAATGATATGTTCTCATCGTCCACAAACACCTATGTTTGATAGACTCAATAACAAAGTAACATCCACGTTGAAATGGAAACTTAATTTGAGCTTTGCTTCAGTTTAATCTATCGAACAAATTTGAAGTGTTATTTCGGTTTCACAGTGTACATTATGATAATTTTTGTAGAATTTGATGAGCGAAGTAAACAGCATCATAACATACTACAGTTAAAGCAGTTTTTCAGTTGGCTGTTTGTAAATATCGTTTAGTTTTTTTTTCGGCAGTGAAATTATTAGGTCCCATTTGGGGCCGATAAGAAAAGCGGTGTATGAAGGCGGTGTATTTTTCGAAGACTCTGAAAGAAAGCGAATTTAAAAGCTTCCGCTTTTTTTCGCCGTTTAATACCGACTTTGACAAACTCCTTCCATCACTGCGTCCTGTTAATGATTAGAAAACCCTTAAATGTATCGATGTAAGTCATTCCTTTAAAGAAAAATCGTTCATTGAGCCGACAAAATTCCAACAATGAAATTGATCGTCCCCGATAACAAGCACTTCTTTGTGATCATTCAAACCTCACAAGGTTTGTCGCGAAACGTTTGCCGCAAAGCGATCAGAAATCAAATCGCGTATTCGATCCCAGCTTTGCTAACCGCTCGATGATTTAACACAACCTATATAGAATACTATTCCTACTCACTCTTACTCTAAATCGATTACCGTCAACGTATTTTTTTAACTCTCGTTATAACTACCTGATTCATTGATTGAAGATGATAAGTAGAGTAAAGCTGCTGTTAAAACCCGCCAGAGTGCCATTAAAAATCGCCTCCGAAATCAAGATGTAATGAAGAGAGGCCAAATGATGTCTTCTGTTCACTCAGTTCACAAGTTCGTACTCTTCGTGATGGGGATTTTGAGTAGATAGGCGTGCTTGTAATTCAACGCCATGGGACGAAACCAAAGTTATTTCCTGGGAAACCGAAAATAATTCTTCTGTGTGTAAAAAGAGACCATTTATAGTTATTAATCTATTTGAGCGAAAGCTTCAAACACATTACATAAGGTCTAACTTTTGAGCAAAATCAATTAAAAATGAATGCGCAAATTAACCCTTGTAATTCTTGTAGCTGAATTTTCGGCTTCATGTGCCAGTCTAATGCTGGCCTCGTCAACTTAATATAAAAGTTCATCAATCTTTGAGTTTATCGAAAGGGTATAAACTATACTCAACTTGTGCACCCGGCAAACACGAGGGAGTGTGCTAGTTATTCCAAATGTTCGCTCGATTGCGGGAAGCGTGATTACCCGCGGACTCGCGGGATTAAGGCGAATAAAGATCATTGGACGTGATGCCATATGTAAGGAAACCGTGCACAGAGGTTCGGGAAATTAGATTTTACACTTCTTATTTTTAGGAGCAAAAGTGTATGAATGATTGCACACAGACGATTTCCACTCAGCATGTGATATTTCTTTCTTTTATCACCTATAGACGCCTTATCGAGATTATCTGTTATGGGTAATTGTTGTCTCCAGGACATTTCATCGAGTCACATATTGATTATGTAATACTACTCAAATAGTTCTTGTGTAAACTTCTGGAATGTTCCAGAACACTTTGTAAATAAATATAAAGACTCACTGATATAGTAGTAGGAGTAGTTGTTGTTGTCGGAGTGACGAAATGTTTTGAACGCTATACCGAGAGAGAGTTACTGCGGAAGATTGCTCATTTCAAGGAGACAGTAGTTCAAATAATAACTAAATTTCCCTCGAGGTTTCATCGCTAAGAGGACCTAAAAGTTTGAGTTTTAACGTTTTAATTCTGTGGGGGACGGCTATGAAATGTACAAAGTGTTAAAAATCGGGTTACCTCACCTTGAGGCGTTTACATGGTAAATTGTCACCCCAGCTGACAGGGTTGCCCTACTTAGCAAATCGGGCAACCTGCCTTGATGGGTCACCCCGCCTATCATGAAAACGTGATTAAGATGAGAGTTTATATGGAAAGGCGGGTTATCTCACCTACTTGGGATCTCCAACCTCTATGTAAACAGGCCCGAAATGAAATTTCCAGTTGTTATTAAATGTTGGAAGTAATACATGAAAAATGCTCAAAAATAAAATCATCTAATTTAGCAACAATGTCTCTCTTTGGAGGTTCAAAAATGTAATCTTACTTCAACCTTAGCTTTGAAGTAAATTGACCATGAGCGTCTACACTGAATATAACCCCATATTCTGCCGACCATCGCTGCAGAGTTTCTCTGCTTAATTTTGGCGTATTATTGACCCTTTAATTCCCAAGATCTCAATAGTAATTCTCCTTACTGTCTCCCATACAGCTCTTGTGATGTTAGTTTGGAGAATTTGGTATTGGATCAACTTATAATCCCCAAACTGATATTTTTCTTTATTCTCATTACTTGTCTGCTTGATATTGTATTGATGTTGTAAGAGAAATTCTGTCTTGGACACTCATCAGAGTTAGAGAGTTAATGACGGTGCAATCTCCCCACTTCACATCGTAGAATGTACATAATTAGAAACCAATAACCCAACTTTTTCAGTGTTCTAATGAATAAGTTTGTTTTATTTTTTAAGCACGTTTTCATGAAACTCGACTATTAAATACGTACCGAGTATATATTTCAATGTTAATTTTGCTTTTCGCAAGAGTAAGCCTTCTGCAAATTAACGCTAACTTTCTTCCAAATACACGATGGTAGGTGATGCAATGATTGGCATTATCCAGTAATTTATACGTATACAAAAAAAAAACTACATGTAACGGTTAATTAATGGGGGCATCTATCCTATGTGTGACATTGTAATTTGAACTACAACAACGATAAAACAAATGGTTACATCCAGCCGTACTTTACAAACAATTGTTTGCATCAATTAGCAAGTTTTCCGGATCCAAAAACAAAAACAACTTGCCGAATTACTCGAGCCTATTTTCTTTAAAAGTTGGAATTTTTTAAAATATGTATATATGCAAAAGAAATGCATAGAATTTAAAAAATGGGGGGGGGGGGAAGAGAGCTGAGTCTATGACAGAGGGCCTTAAAAAATATCTGAAGTAAGCGTTGATACATATGAGAAAAATTTTTAGTAGGGGTTTTAAATCAACACACTCTGTGAGGGTTGAAAA